TATTATTCCGTAATCGGCGTAATCTTATTGGACGCCGTTGCGCGTCGTAGCTGCAGACGGCGCGGGCGAATGGTCGAGTTTAGAGCTTAAAATAGACAATAGTAACAATAGTTTATTATTTGATATTATTATTTTTACATGACAATTATTTTAAGATTTTGTAAATAAAATTATATAACCATGTAATATACTAATATGAATTACAAATTACAATATTACACACATGTATGACATCAATGTTTAGGGCGTTAACACACAACTTGCACACCCAGAGAAAACGCCACTGAATATATTAATTATATGGCCATTGAACGAAAATTAAAATAGTATTTATTTTTATCTATTTCCGTGTATAACCTACAAGGCTACAAGCTATAACCAGATTATACGAATATAATGATTAGTTGACCTTTAGTCTAGCAGGGTGACCTATTTTTTAAGACATAGGTACGTTATTTTAGAAAAAGCCAAAGCTTTTCAAAATACTTCTTTTATATATTTTAAAGTTGTCAAAAATCAACATAATTGGAAAAAAATATATACTTTTTATTATTTTTATTGTTATTGTTAATTTAATGAATATCAATAAAATTTTTATATATATTTTCCATATTTCAAAATAAAATATTACTCAGAGTATTAGATTTATAAAAATTAAATTTATGATATAAGTTATAACTATTTAAAGTTTAGATACGAGTGTAAAGCAATAGACTAACATTTTTGCATTTAACTCCGCATGACAAAACTATTGAAATACTTGATAGTTATATAACTCATAAATTCTTCATTCAAAATTTTTGTTCATTAAAGTACTCTAGAAATTTTTATTTTTAAACGAATTAAAATCATGTAAAAATAATATTTTCAAAAACGACAGATACGCCAAATTGAACAATTAATCAAATAATTGATTTTAATTAGTTTTAATTGGCATATTAATAATATACAATGTATATTACATTGAAAATAATCAATTATTTATGATTTGCAAGTTTTTTTATATATTTTTTTCAGCGGTCTTTACAATCTTTTATGAAATATACACATATTTACTGGCTACTACTTACTAAAGTTATGGGATTAAGTACTTAACAAGTGTAAAACATGAACAAAAATTAGAATTTTAGCAAAAACATTTTTTTTTATGAATGTTCAAACATTTTACATATACACAGAAACACATATTATATAAACGTACAACAAAGATATTGTCCAATAATGCAATTATAATAATAGTAGCATGGTACATTAAACTACGTATATAGTGTTTTCGATCGCTATCGTCGGTTTCTGTATTTAAATCGTACCGAGGCTGGTAATGTAAATGATGTCAGTGTTCACGGTGAGCATAATATAAGTCTTATATACAAGTTAGGTAAGTATGCATTGGCTTTTGTGTGGTTGATCGCATTTGATAAATTTGCGCCATGTATAGTACTTATGTATGTTATGTAATGCAGAGTTTATATAATGACATTTACCATGTATATTCATGCAAAAATTAATACTAGTATTTAAAGCATATAATGTATATAAATAAACCTATAGTACATTTTTTATCATAAAACGAAAAAAACTACAGCAACTATAAAACAGTTGTAAAAAATATAAAATAATATATGATTGCGGGATCTTTTAAATTACGCACGACGAATACGTTGGTGGTTTAGTGTCGGGTTGAACAATCCCTACTATTTTTAGTCGAAAAAAAATCCTATAAGTAGATATGTACATATAGGTTTATAAGTTTATGGTAAAGTGATGAGGGATATTTTTTTAACGAAAGAAATCGCCACGGATTTCAGCGCATATACCGCCGTAGGTGTAACATTATATATTATAAAAACGGTAAAAAAAGCAGACGATGCAGTGCACACGTCTTCCGAGAAGTATGAGAATAGTCGTTTATATATATATATATATAATACATGCGCACACACACACACACACACATAATAAGAAGGGATTCGTCTGGTAATACAACGATAACAATAATAATAACAATATAATAATATTATACTACATTACACGGGTGTTTTCGCTCTCGCGTCGGTTTACCGCGGTGGCGTTGGAGGTGGAGGTGATGGTGGAGGTGGTAGTGGTGGTGGTGGTGGTGTCAACCGTCGCGAGAGCTAGCAAAAAAAAAAAAAATACAAAAAAAAAAAAAAAACAACGTACAGGCGTACGTCGCGCCCCGCACACGCGCACCCGCAGCCGATGGGTGGTCGTGGTTGCAAAGCCCGCGGGGGAGGATCGCTGCGGCGGTGGGCGAGGGGTTGCGCGCGCGCCGCAAGACCAATGGCGCTGCGGGGGCGAGGGTGTCGGCCGGGCACGCCCCGCCCAACCCGGGGGCCGAAAAGTCACCGCCGCCGCTGTCGCCGTATGCGCCCCTTCGGCGGCGGCCGTGACCGGCACGCCGCGCGCCGCCGCCCGAATAAAGGGGGTGGGTTTATTCGCACTTTTCTACGCGACGGCCAGTTATTGAATTACGCAGGGCCATCATTTGATTTGGAACCGACGACACCGTCGTATATACCGCCGCGCGCGCCGTCACCGTAATCATCGTCGTCGTCGTCGTCGTCGTTGTATCGGCCTCTTTTCTACTGTCCGCCGCCGCCACATCCGCCGCCGTCCACTTCTCGACCGTTACAATACGTACGACACTCTATCGCCGAACAAATTATATTATTATTACTATTATTAATATCGTTATTAGATCATCGTCACTGCGGCGCATCACAGTCATCAAAACATAATAAATATATCTATTTCGCAGCAAACGCACGTATAATTGCTATCTATATATACCTATACGTTATACGTGGGTGTATATATTATTATTTGCGTACGCACCGGTTTTCGCTTTTTGCCATCGCCGCCCATCGTTTTCCGCGGACCTCGTCGTTAACATCCATCCTCCGCGCTAGATTTCGTTCTGGCGGGCCACGCGTATGCGACCGGCAGAAGCTGTAAAACACGCCGAATAACAATATCGTAATAAGCACCCTTCAGTTGGCATTCTTCGTCGAGACACTGAGACACACCGCGATCGGATCGCACGAGCACGCGTCGCGTGACCTTGCAGTTATCTCTCGGCTGCAGCAGTTGCATCGTCAGTAGCTGCATAGTAGACATACGTACGTCATCACGCACGTGCGCGCCGCCCGATGAGATAACGGTACGCGATAACGCACAATCGTCATGGACTACTCGTACCTGAACCAAGCCAACTTCGACGGTCTGACCGGCACCACCACGGCCGCGTCCAACATGGACCACGCGGCGATGGGATACGGCGACCTGACCACGTGCGGTCAGATGACGCACGCCGCGTACCGGTTCGGTCCCACCGCGTCGATGGCCGCTCGGTCGTACAACACGGCCATGGGCCATCATCTGTCGGCCGCCGCGGCCGCCGCGGCTGCCGCGTCCGGCAACGGGCACAACGGCACCGGCGTCACGTCCGCAGCCGCCGCCGCAGCCGCCGCCGCCGCCCGTGGACACCACCACGGACACCACCAGGACCACCATCCGGGCCGGCCGACCATGTTCTCGACCGCGATGAACTTGCCAGGTAAGCGACGCGCTCGGTGTGACGTAGTTTGGCACGGTACCTAGTTCACTTTTTGATCAGTTTCTAACCGCGAATTTTCGATTTGATAAACAAAACTTTTAAAAGTCATGAGAATTTGACGGACTTTAGACCTGGATTTGTATTTTACGGATCAAATAATTCATTCTTGCTCGCCGAAATAAATACTAGTTCATTCCATAGCCAAATTTGTAAGATATTTTTTTCTTTGTTTTGTGAAAAAATGCAATTTTCTGGTTGCCGCATCACTATCTTCAGTTAGGGTCGACAAAATTTGATCGCATTCAATCAGGGATTTTAAATTCATCTAAATCTAAAACTCAATAACAATATTTTACGATCCGTTTGGTTGTCAAACTAAAAAAGCGACCATTTAATTAATATGTTTACATTGAAGATTCTTTGTTTATCAAACTATTGTAGGATATCTATAGACCATAGACTTATAAAAGAAAAGAATATAAGTAAGAAGAGAAAATAAATATAATCTATATATTATTAGGTTAACCTAACCTAAGTATCTATAGTTGTCGACTAACGATCGTAGCGCATAGCGTGAACTTCAATAATGATAAACAACAAATAATATACCTAGGTACTTACCACTTAGAAGTTATACGTCACTGTAAATTACGTATATTATGTATTTATGTATGCACACGATAAACACATGATATTTTTAAACTTCTCATTACCCAATTTACGGTTATGTTCAAATATTTTTATTATTATTATTATTTCTTATAAGAAAATTTATTATTATTAAATTAACACAATGTAACACAGCATAATTAAAATAACAAAAATTACCCACACCTTTAAACTGAACTTGTAGTGTGTAAAGAGTTATAATACATTTAAGATTAAACTATTATACATATAAAAATATAATTTTAAATATAGTAATAGTACCTACCTAAGTATAGATAATATATTATAGATTTATTACTAACGAATTATAAACATATTATATATTGACTTAATTCAAAAAACAAAACATTATTTATACATTTCTTGATACTAATATTATCATTTAGAATATATTTTTTTAAATATTAATTGGCAAAGAGTAAAAATTAATAGGATCAAGATAATTAATGAACTTTTGACCAAAACATGTATTAGTGTATATCACTTTAATATTAAACAATCTATTTCCACTCATGGGCTTATCATTTTGTTCGATAAAGAATAAATTAGATTTTTTAATGTGCAAAAATTATAGCTATTTTTTTAAATAGCAATTCAAGCGAAAGCATGTTACATTTTTTACAGTTTAAATATATTGACTCTATGAGATTGTCTTCCTTTAAATATAGACGAATCGTATTATTTTTTTGTGCCTTTAAGAGATTAAAAACATTTATTGAAACACCAGTGCACCGCCCCAAATTATCATGCCATATTGTAATATAGATTAGTATAAAAAAAGATATGGTATCCCTAATGTATGAAGTGAAATTATATATTTTTATATATTATAAGTTTAAACATTGTAGAACGAAATTTAACTATTTATATATTATTAAAGGTGAATTGTGAAAATCAATTAGTTAAAAAGTTAAAGTTGAGTTCATATTTTTTAAATTTTTCAACCTAATTAATCTATAAATCAATAAACCAAATAACTTAAAAGGACACCTTACACCCACTATTTAAGAGGTAGTATCTAATATATTTAAATACCAATATTCTAAGTTTTTTCTAAGTTCTAGAGTGATCCTATATTATGTAAATGGTTGTTTCGTAATAATGATATAATGTTTATAGAAAAATAATTTTACATGAGATAAACTTCCGAGTACATCGTTTTTAGTAGATTCGCCAAATGTTCATATAACATGGAAAAGAACTTAAGCTGTGTTGAAGCGATTTTTTTTTCATGTCAACGCTCAATAATTTTGAGTAAACAAATAAAATAAAATAAATAACTGTAATTGTCTTTATGTTATTAAAAAATACAAACTCTATGGCATACATATATTTATTCTATATAATAATATATGGTAATCATTTGGTCAGATTATTATGAATACTATCTTCGTAAGTTTGTTCTGCGTAAGACCTATTTCATGGATAAATTACTTGTGATATCCTCTTAATTGGTTAAAAAATTCGGTGTTTCAACTTATAATATTTAATAGTTAACTTAAAAATGTCAAATAATAATTAAAATTATGTTAACGTAAAACTGTTGTGATTGAAACTAATTAATTAATAATTTCTTGATTAATAACTATACATTATACAATCATTTTAAAAATAAATAAATAAATAAAATATATAACTTGATTTATGTTGATATACTCATAAACGTGTACCATTACAACAGCTAATACCTTTGAAGGTTGAATGAATGGTATATAAACAACTTCATTGCTTCTGTCTTTGTATTGTAATAAGGCACACTTAAAAATACAAAATCAACAAAAAATAATATAAATAATGAATTCTTACGTACAACGCACATGGCTTATTATTTATTGGAAATGAACTACTATTTTAAAATAAAAACAAATCATATAAATATAATTAGTTTAAGAAAATACATAACAAACATTTTTGAATTAAATTTAAAAAACAACAAAATACATTTAGAAGATAGATATCTTAGACACTCATCTTTGAGTTGCGATATCCTTTGTACCTATAATGTTCAATGATTTTTAAAAATAAAAACAATTATAACTTAGCTATTACATGTATACCAGCAATTTGAAAAATTGGGGCCTAAAGAAACTAGTTTTTACACACATTTTTACTACCTGATAAATAGCTCTCTATAATTCTCACATCATTTTAGCAACTCTCACATTTCATCTCTAATTGCATGCCAATAGAAGGTACATAAAAATATTTTAATAATTAAAAATTTTAATTATATACTTAAAAGTGGTAAAATAGCTATTTTCTCTTGCATTAAGCTTAAAATTTATATATAGTAGTATATATAGTAATTTATTACTAATTCCACTTTAGTTTTTGTTGAAATGTATACTAATCTTACGTTAAAGTTTTTAGCCGGTGTTTTGATTAGCTGAACAGATTTCAAAATATAATACTTATTAATTCATTTGAAAACATTGAAGGAAAAATTAGAACCTTATTCAGTAATTGATAAGTTATAAACTAATAACTAATAAGCTATAATTAATATTTTATTCATAACCTTTGAAAATATTTACTTACACTATACTTAAGGTTTATTCAAACAAGATAATCTTTAATATTATACATGATTAGTTGAATGTCGGGTTGGGTTTAACGGCTTATTTTGGTTTTATTTATAATTGATATATTTTAATTTCTGAGATATCTTCTACTTTATCTTATACTTTAATGTATTTTAAAATTTAAATTGTACATTACAAATCTAAAACAACGCTAGGTGCATTGAGCGTATAATAATTAAGAAATCTAGGAATATTTATAATTTAAATTTGTTGATAATTAAAATATAATTTTCAGTTTGTATGATAATATTAGTTGTTATTAAACTATTTCTAGCTATGACATCACTCGTCAATCTAAATGCTTATTACTTATTAAATAATTAATACCTAGCTTATATATTGGAAAAAAATTATCATTTGTCTTCAGAATTCTGGATCATGAATCTTCATACACGAATAATATTTCATTTTTTTGGAAATTAAAAACATATACCAAATATAAATACCCGTAGAGATAGCAGTACTATTAATTAATTATTGTTTTTTTATAGGTAAAATATATATATAATAGATATCTACGTAATATTTTAGTTACGTTAATAAAATAGGTATAATATAACTATGTACAATTGTATTACTAATTTTGAACAATTATAATCAGTAAATAATGATATCTAAAAGTCAATATAATTTAGTGTTGCAAAAGTAGCTTGGTAATATAACCTTTAACTCTTTAACTCCAAATCATTTATAAGTTAGGTGTTATGCAAATTATCTCTCTTTCTATGTATAATATACATATAGTTAATATACAAACGTTAATTTTATATTATAGTCACTTATATTTACTGTGGACCAGAGTACAAGCATTGTATAATAAATACAACAGCTAATATTACTATACTTGCAATATTACATTTAATATGACAAGAAAAACTAAAAATAAAACATATTATACAAAATAAAAAACAATAAATAAATATTAAATATAACCCAAAATATATGTATTACCAGTAACCATTAAGAGATTAGTGGGAAATTAAAAATATAATTTTTGTTTGCAAAATATAGAATGAAATATAAATTAGTTTTGAATCTCTAGTGTTCAGTCAATTTATTTTAAAACTAGCTTAAAACAAACATTCTGGACAATCAGTGGATACTAATATAGTTAACAATTTATGGAGACATTTTTAAAGAAAAATCATACAACGTTATTATTAAGTAGTAATGTATTCGATATAAATTTTTTTCTACGAATCTGGAAAACACACGATTGTATTATTTATCAAAACGAATTCAAGTGGAAATATTTTTTTTCCAGTCATACGATATTTTGGTTAAAATTTAATATTTAAACGTCTTTTAAATTACATGTTTGCGTTTTTTTATTTAATGTTTTTTAGAGTTGATACATAATATTTCATATGATTTTATTCGCTCGACTTCTTTTAAATAATATTATACTACATGTGGTTTATACTTTATTTATTTTTATTTTACTACGTGAAAATATTTGTTAACTCAGATTTATAATATAACAAACAATATGAATTAAAAAAAATATTTTAAACATATATTTTTTATATCGTATAGTACGCAATATATCATATTAAACATCATGATTTCTTGGAAAAATTATTATACTATGTTATATAATATATATTTATAGACGTATTTCCTATGCACATGATTATATAACATTTAAAATAATAAAAAATATATATGTACAGTTAAACATATCAAGAATATTATCACTTATCAAAGCGTAACTTGTTGGTAATATGTGGTCAAAACACGAAGCATTAT